GGGGCGGATGAGAGTGCCGCGGGGCCCAGGGCAGCGCCGTGGGGCCCTGGGCAGCAAAATTTCACGGGCCCCCCCCTTTGACACAGCGCATGTGCCATGGTGCCAAGGCGCATGCGCGGGGCCCGGGGCAGCTGCCCTGCTCGCCCTGCCCTAAATCCACTGCTGCTCGCTGGCTTTAACCACTAGGCCATGCTTCCTACAGTGCCTTTTAGTCCAAACCCTGCAGACCCGCAGGGAGGGGAGAAATGGGGGCTGTCGCTGCCAGGATAAAACCTGGGTGGGAGATCCTGCACAAAAGGGGATGAGCCAGCTTATCAGCCGGGTGTTTAATGGCCTGCCCAGGGCTCTGCCTGACACCTGCTGCAGACATGTTCAAGACACCTCACCTGGGGCAGCGGTGGGAGAAGTTTCCTCCTTGCAACTAGCTCAGGGGTGGGCGATAATTGTTGATGGGGGAGGGGAGGGGGTCACTCCAAGATTTTGGAATGTGGTCAAGGGCCTCACTCTTCCATGATATTAATGGAGATGCGGGGCCTGGGATGGAGGTTGGGTGCAGAAGGGGGCTTGGGGTAAGGGACTGGGGTACAGGGGAGACTGGAGTCTGGGAGGGAGTTGGGATGAAGCAGGCGGTTGTGACCTAGGGCAGGGGATTGGAGTGCAGGGGTTCGAGATGTGTCCTAAGGTAGGAAGGAGATTGTGATCTGGGGCAGGAGATTGGGGCCGGATCTGGGAGGGGGTATGGGTGTAAGAGGGGGACAGAGGGTTTGGGTATGTTGGGGGGCAGGGGGAGAGTTGGGGCAGGAAAGGGCTGGGGTGCCAGAAGCAGGCTGTGGCAAGAGACTTACTTGCCAGCTGCCAAACTAGTTTGCCTGCCTGCAGAGCTTAAAATGTTTCCCAGCCAGCCTGTTTGCCTGGCCATGTGCTTCATGAATAACTGAGCCCAGGAGAGGGGGCGTGATTCTTCTTAGCTGCCTCTTATTCTAACAAGCAGCTCCCGTTGGCTGGTTTCCCCCAGAAAATTGCCGTCATCTATGTGTCTGACAATTTTATTCTTTACTGTAGTTTCAACTAATTTACCCGGTACTGACAGTAGACGTACCAGTCTGTAATTGCCCGGGTCACCTCGAGAGCCCCTTTTAAATATTGGCTTCATGTTCGCTATCTTTCCAGTCATTAGGTATGGAAACCAATTTAAAGGATGGGTTACAAACCACAGTTAATAGTTCCGCAGTTTCACATGTGAGTTCTTTCAGAACTCCTGGGTGAATGCCATCTGGTCCCAGTGACTTGTTGCTGTTTACTTTTTCAATTTGTTCCAAAACCTCCTCTAATGACACCTCAATCTGGGACGATTCCTCAGATTTGTCATCTAAAAAGAATGGCTCGGGTTTAGGAATCTCCCCAATATCCTCAGCTGTGAAGACTGAAGCAAAGAATTAATTTAGCTTCTCCGCAATGACTTTATTGTCTTTAACTGCTCCTTTTGTATGTCGATCGTCCAGGGGCCCCACTGGTTGTTTAGCAGGGTTCCCGCTTCTGATGTACTTAAAAAACATTTTCCTATTACATTTTGAGTTTTGGCTAGCTGCTCTTCAAACTCCTTTTGGGCTTTTCTTGTTATATTTTTACACTTAAATTGACTAAAGTTTATGCTCCTTTCTATTTTCCTCACTAGGATTTGACTTCTACTTTTTAAAAGATACCTTTTTATCTGCCACTGCTTCTTTTACTTGGTTGTTAAGCCACAGTGGCACTTTTTTGGTTCTCTTACTGTGTTTTTTAATTTGGGGTATACCTTTCAGTTGGGCCTGAATTATGGTGTCTTTGAAAAGTTGCCATGCAACTTGCAGAGATTTTACTTTAGTCACTGTGCCTTTTAATTTCTGTTTAACTAACCTCCTCGGTTTTGTGTAGTTCCCCTTTCTGAAATTAAATGCCACAGTGCTGGGCTGCTGAGTTGTTTTTCCCACCATAGGGATGTTATATTTAATTATATTATGGTCACTAGTTCCTGTGCTCCACTCAGGACTAAATCAAAAATTGCCTCTCCTCTTGTGGGTTCAGAACCAGCTGCTCCAAGAAGCAGTCATTTAAGGTATCAAGAAATGTTATCTCTGCATCCTGTCCCGAGGTGACACGTACCCAGTCGATAGGGGATGGTTGAAATCCCCCACCCTATTTTTTATTTTGATAGCATCACAAATCTCCCTTAGTCCGCCAGATGTGCTGCTCCCCTCCCAGCCTGGGTTTATTCTGCAGGGTTCTCCTCCCAGCAGAGCAGCTCGTTTCTGGAGCCATCACTGGATGTGCTCGTGGTAGTTCCCAGGCCAATATTGGGCTTTTCCTGTAGCCTGCTGTCAGGGTCGGCCCACAACATTTTGGCACCTGAGGCGGGGAGCTCAAATGACGCCCCCATGCCCCTCGCTTGGGCCAGAACTTTGAAAGGGCTCAGTTCTGCCTCTTCCTGTCCACTCCTCTCATGGGACTGCTCTGCTTCCTACCCCAGTAAAGGAGAACTAACAACTTAAAATGCCTCGTTCAAAAGTCCATCTGCGCCAGCACAGACAGTGTTCTACACTCTGGGTCCTTGGGGTGCCGCCTCAGTTCACCTCCTGGTAAGGGCAGCCCTGCCTGTGGCTTGGGCAAACCCTGGGCTGCCCTGTAGAGTGGGTCTCTGCTGCCAGCAAGGGAGAGGGGGCTGGGGCTGAGTCCCAGTCAGGGTTCTAATGCTGTTTGCGACCCACGGCGTGACTGCAGGCGAGTCGCTGCGTTTCTCCCTGCCTGTTTGCCCAGCAGCAGCCAGGGGGTAAAGATGCTTCCTTCTTGCCTCCAGGCGCAGGGGGGCTTGTGTGACTGGCACCTGGGGCAAGAGTGCTAATGGGACATAGCACGCCAGAGTCCCCCGGGGGCCTTTCTCCACTCGCCATCAGCCCAGCAGCAGGGCAGGCGCCACTGGCAGCAGAGAGCTGGGAATGGCTCAGGGCTTGCCAGCTTGGAGCCAGGGCAGGAGGACGGAGCCTGAACAGAAACTGCTGCAAGCACTCAACCGCAGACCAAGGATGTCATCAAGGGCACCCCTGCCCTGTGGGTCCAAAGGGCTGCCTGCTAGATCTGGTGGCATTGCTCTGTCTGAAGCCTGGCCTCCAGATCTACTCTATGTGCTTTGCTGGGCATCTCTCAGCGCAGGTTAGTGCACGAGAGGGTTGCTGTGGGGCCAGTCTGCCATTCCCATGGCCTGGCGGGATGGGTTAGGGTTACAAATGGGGTCAACTCTCCTGCCCCCCCAAGCACTTTGACCAGGCTTTCCTTCCCAGCCGGGACTCCTGGGTCTTCCCCACCCACCTTCCAGAGACACTGTGCTGCTGATCCAAGGAGCTGGTTCGTCCCCTTCCGGCACTTGGCGTTCATAGACCCCAGCATTCGCAAAGGCAGGCTAGCAGCAGGCTTAGGGGGAGCGGGGTTATTGGTAGGTGTTGATAAATGCCGATTTCACTGCACACAGACAAACCCCCGAAGTCCAACAATAACAAGCAAAGTTACAGATGGGCAAAGTGCTTGAAAACGTCGGGTCAGAGTCCAAGGAGTTAAACGTTGAATCAGCTTGTCCCAAGTGGCTTGCAGGTGGGGGGTTGTCTGAAGGACGTTTATTTTGTATATTCTGGCACATGGTGATGACAGTTTGTGTTTCAGTGATTAGAAGTTTTCACTGTTTCAATCTCAGCATCTACTGTCGTTAAGTCGCTTTGTCTGAGCCCCGTCCCGTCCCACAACCCGGAGAGTGTCAACCAATGAAAATAAAACGCTGAGAAAGAAACATCAAATTCGCCATCACAATGGCCGGAAACGAACTTGGAAACCTGCCCAGGCTAGCTGTAAGCAAGGTGGCCGTTGGCCGCGGCACCCTTGCTGCGGTACCTGGAGATGGGTGGTGTGGGCGTTGGATAGAGCCCTGCAGGGCCGCGGCTCGTGTTGGCAGATACAGATTTCATATCTACGCAGGGTTCTGCATTGGAGGCTTCCTGGCAGCCTGCTTAGATTCTGGCCAGTAGGGCCAGGGCTGGTAAGGAACTGCACACAGCACAGCCATGGTGGGCTCAGCTCCCCAGCCCAGGCAAGGGGTGCGGTTAGATTGTAAGCGCTATGTATTCTCGGCTTGTGCAGCGCTTGGGGCCTTGGTCTGCTTGGCACTTACAGGCCCTCCAGCCCGCCGGATGGTGACCGTGTACAGGTGGCCCAGGCCAGGGGCGTGTTCCAGTGAGGGCTCGCCAGGCTTCACTGGGCTGCATGGCGTTTGGTACAGATCTTGCTCTAGAAGACACAGTGGCCATGAACGGTTCTACCCCACGCCCTGGCTGCAGAATAGAGATGTGAGGGTTTTGCCGGTGGGGGTGGTGCAGTCCCTGGCTGCTGTGGGAGATGGGGGACCGTTCCCCACTCGGCCTCCTTTAATCGTCTAACCGGTTATACAATATGTTTAGCTGATTAGCCAATGAAACAGGATTTTGCATCCCTGCTGCAGAAGAGCGACTCAGAACCAAGGGGTTGCACCAGGGACACCCAAGTGTGTTTGCTGCAAGGAGGGTGGCATGGTAGCATCCTGATCCCCATCCAGCTACCGGGCGCTCTCATGCCCCCTCCCCGCATCCTGGGAGGCATGTCCTTGGGAGTCTCTCCACCTTCTGTTTTGCAGAAGAGGACGTGGAGAACTTCGACGTGACAAACCTGTCTCAGGATGTGCTGCGGAGCATCGAAGCAGACAGCTTCTGGTGCATGAGCAAACTCCTGGATGGCATCCAGGTAAGTGCCCAGGGGATGGGCCTGCTCAGATTTCTCTCGGCTCCCTCGCTCCCTTGGGTGACAGAGGTCCCCCTCTGTCTACACTCTAGGGGCCTCCCTCCACCTACCGCTCGGATGCCAGGCTGAGTCCTGTCTGCTCTTGCAGCCTGGGGCCCCGACTCCAGGAACGGACGAGTTCCAGTCCCGGCCCACCCACTGACAGTCCACGGACCTGTGTCCAGCCCCTCGGCTAAAAGGGGGTAGTGGCTCCAGGGTTTCTGTGCTCTTCAGCCCTGTCTAGCCTGGCTCCTAAAACCACCTGCCCAACGGTTGGCTGCCCTCTTGCTTTCCCACCTCCGTAACTTCCCCCCTGCGTTTGCGCTCTCGGGCCTCTTGCCCCCAGGAAACATGCTGCATCTTCTTCCCCCGACATGTGCAGCCCCTCATGTGTCTGCCTTTCAGGGCCTCCTATGGCTGCAGGCTTCTGCCCCTCCCTCTGTGGCTGGTGGTCCCACAGAAGCCTCCTTGCTCAGGGTCCCACAAAGACATGTAGACTTCCCAGTGGCTGTAACAGTTGTCCTGTGCCTCCTTCGGTAGAAACTCTCCTCTCTTTTACCAGGATCAACCTTTGAAAGGGAGAATTAAGGGCCTATTTATGGCCCCAGTCAAATGGAATTTTGCTCTGTGAGCTCCAGATGGCTTTCCTTGCTCACTGACTCATGTAGACATTTCTCAGTGTGTTCTCTTGTGAGCTGAGCATCCCATACGTAGCATGAAACAAAACACAAAACGAGACACACAAAGCCAAACTCCTGCTTAAAACAGAGGGATTGCTGCTTAGCATCAAAGGGGGATCTCAAAGCACTGCACAAAATTGCCTCTGCTTTACAGATGGGGAAACTGAGGTGCAGAGAGTTGAGAGACTCCCCCGAAGTCACCATAGGAGCTGGGAGTGAAGCCAGGAGTGAAAGCCTGGTTCCATGGAAGTTGACAGCAAAAGGCCCAGCAGGGTGAGATTTCACCCCAGGCTCCTGAGTCTCAGTCTGCAGATCTAACTACTAGGCCACCTTGCCTCACTGAGCATTACCCTCATGCTCATGTTTTCCAGGGACTCTGGCTTGCACTGGGCTTGGAAGGGCAGCGAGCTTTCCCAACAGGGGAGTGCATTCCAGAGCGGAGGATTGCCCCTACACTCCCTGTCTCCTGGACAAGTCACATCCAGGGACTCTTAGCCAAAGCATGACGCTGTTCTCCCCAATCCCAAGAGTAGGCAGAAGGCAAGCAGTTCTCTTAGCGGGGTTCCCAGCCCTGGGATGCTGTCACTGCAGCAGCTGCTGCCTTTGACTCTCCCTATCTCCCTGCAGGACAACTACACCTTTGCACAGCCAGGGATCCAGAAGAAGGTCAAAGCCCTGGAGGAGCTAGTCAGCCGGATCGATGGTAGGTGGTGAGGAGAGGAAACCCGGGGGGAGGTCATGCTGTGCATATCTCTTGTTCCTCAATCTCCAAAGGTTGATCATAAGAACAACCAGGCTAGGTCAGACCCATGTGTGCTCAGGATCCTGCCTTCTGACAGTGGCCAATGCCAGGTGCCCCAGAGGGAGTGAATAGAACAGGGAATCATCAAGTGAGCCATCCTTTGTCACCCATTTCCAGCTTCTGACAAAGAGAGGCTAGAGACTGATGGACCTGTCCTCCATGAACTTATCTAGCTCTTTTTTGAACTCTGTGATAGTCTTGGCCTTCACAACATCCTCTGGCAGGGTGTTCCACGGGCTGACTGTGCCCTGCGTGAAGAGACACTTCCTTTTGTTTGTTTAAACCCACTGCCTGTTAATTTCATTTGGTGGCCTCCTAGTTCTTGTGTTCCGAGAAGAAATAAATTACACTTCTTACTCACTTTCTTCACACCAGTCATGATTTTCTTGACCGCTATCATATTCCCCCTTAGTTATCTCTTTTTGAAGCTGAAAAGTCCAGTCTTACTAACCTCTCCACATATAGAAGCTGGTCCAACCCCTAATCAGTTTTGTTGCCATTTTCTGAAACTTTTCCAATTCCCAGATAGCTGTTCTTAGATGGGGCAAGCACATTTGCACACGCAGTATATTTGAGATGTAATTGTTCCATAGATTTATGGAAAGGCAAGACGATATTTTCTGTCTTATTATTGATCCCTTTCCTAATGATTCCCAACATTAGGTTTGCTGTTTTAACTGCTGCTGCACATTAAGTGGATGTTTTCTAGGAACTATCCACAATGACTCCAAGATCTCTCTCTTGAGTGGTTGTAGCTAAATTCGTTCCCATCGTATTGTATGTATAGTTGGGATTGTGTTTTCCAATGTGAGTTACTTTGCATTTATCAACATTAAAATTCATCTGCCATTTTGTTGCCCAATCACCTAGTTTGGGGAGATCTTTTTGAAGCTCTTCACAGTCTGTTTGATCGGAACTATCTCGAGCAGTTTTGTATAATCCGCAAACGTTGCCACCTCACTGTTTAACCCGTTCTCTAAATCATTCCTGAATATGTTGAACAGGATTGGTCCCTATACCAATTGTTATCTCTCTCCATTCTGAAAACTGACCATGTATTGTCTCCTGGCTTTTAACCGGTTGATCAGTCCACGAGAGGACTTTCCCTCTTATCCCATGACCACTTACTCGGCTTCAGAGCCAGGCTTTCTGGAGATCTAAGTACACTGTGTCCACTAAACCCCCTTGTCCACATGCTTGCTGCCCCCTCAAAGAGCTCTAATAGGCAAGGCAAGATTTCCCTTTACGGAACCTATATTGACTCTTCCCCAGCAAATCGTGTTCATCTCTGTCTCTGATACTTCTCTTCTTCAACCACTTTGCCTGGTGCTGAAGTTAGATGTACCAGCCTGAAATTGCTGAAATCACTTCTGGAGCTTTTCCGAAAACCTGCCTCCCATTCGGTGGAAGGTTGATGTAAATGGTCCGTTATAAGCCACGGTTAGCAGCTTGGCAATTTCACATTTGGGTTCCTTCTGAACACTTGGGGGAAGCCCGTCTGGTCCTGGTGACGTGTTACTGTTTAGTACTCGCTGGTCACAGTGCGGCGACGGGTCTTTTGTGGGAGAAGTGGAATATTGCACCGGGTGGAAGCAGTTGCTGGACGTGATTTCCCTTTGGATTCCTGGCGCAGGCAGAGAGCAGGCTCATACTGTTCTGCATCCTCCTCCATTCCCCAAGAGGTTCCCATTGCCCAGGGCTGTGTCCTGATCAGGACAGAGGCTACAAACCGTGGGAAGGGGTGGAAGTGGGTACAGTAAGTTGGGACGGGTGTAGCTGCATGCAGACGGCTGCTGGCTTGGCTGGAAGGCGTGTGGGAGAAGACATGCATGGGGCGTTCACAGCTGGGGTCATGGCTCGGCAGGTGGGTGAGGACATGGTAGGAGGGTCGTTAGCAAGGGAGGGGACTTGGCACATGGGAGGGGCATCATTTGAGAGAGCGGGGGGGCTTCAGTGCACATTGTAGGAGGGGCTTGGTGCAATGCAGGGGGGCGGGGCCCTGCCCCCTGTAACGGAGCGTGCTGTTTCAGAGCAGGTACACAATCACTTCAGGAAGTACGAGGTCGAATACCTGCAGTTTGCCTTTCGCTGGATGAACAATCTGCTCATGAGGGAGCTTCCGCTGCGCTGCACCATCCGCCTATGGGACACCTACCAGGTACCTAGGGCCTCCCTGGGGCCGGCCCCCCACACAGCCTCACCAGTGGTGGGTGTGGGGCAGTGGCAGGGCTCACTCACCTCTTGGCTGCCTTCTTGTGGAGCCCAGCCCCAGGCCTTGGAGCAAAGGCAGGCTAAGCTGGCCTTGCTGGGGCTCCCCTCAGGCTGACTCTGCGGCAGGGAGGGACCCGAGTTTTGTGTCCTTCCCAGTCGGAGCCAGAAGGATTCTCCCATTTCCACCTGTACGTCTGTGCCGCCTTCCTGATCAAGTGGCGGAAAGAGATCCTGGATGAGGAGGATTTCCAGGTGACTTCCTGGGGAGCAGCCCCAGTGTGGGGAGGAGGGCGGGCAGTAGAGTTGTGGGTGGGTGGTTAAACACCAAGAAGGGAGAGGCACCACCTGTGGCTGTGGCAAGTATTGATTGCACCCCAGTGATACAGCAGATCATAAAATCTACACCCAGATGCAACCCTCCGAACGGGGGGACCTACCCACAACCCCCCCACCATTAGCTCAGATCAGAGGACAGGTGCTTGGTTACATGGAGAACCTGAGGCTCTGGGATCCTCTGCCAGAGACTCAATCTGCCCTCTGTGCTATGGTCCGGTCTGTTAACGCTGTCCCTTTGTGCACCTCTGTCCGTGCTCTGATCCCCAGAGGCAGGGTCCTGCTGCGGCTGGAGTAGGCCAGGAAAGGGGAGACCCATTTGGATGAGGAGGGAGCAGTCTGTGTGTGCTGATCTCAGACTTGTTCATTGTGTGCTGCAGACTGAGGTCTGAAGGCCTGAGGAAAAGGGCTGGGGGACGTGACCCCATTTTCCAGGGATAAGTGAGGCTGGTTAATGAGGAGTTCACTCCACATTTGGGTGCCGCCAACTTGCAGGAGTGCTGGGTGTGTCCGTGCTGCTGGGAGGTGCTGAGGAAGCTGGGTGTGGTGTTGCCATCTTGTGTACACAGCAGGCAGCATGGCAGCCTGGAGTGGGACTCAGGAGACCTGTTCCCTGCTCTGCTACGGGTGTCACTGTGTCAGTCCTGGCTAGAAAGTGCTACTGTGCCTGTCAGACCACGTCTGCATTTGCCCTACAGCGGAATCCTCGCCCCACTAGATCCAAAGTAAGAACTCCCTTTTCCCTTGTTCCAGGGTCTTCTCATGTTGTTACAAAACCTACCCACAATACACTGGGGCAACGAAGAGATTGGACTGCTCCTGGCTGAAGCCTACAGACTCAAGTACATGTTTGCAGAGGGGCCAGGACTCGGCCTCCCCGCCCCGGCCTGATCTAATCACTGTGGCATTTCATCCTCGAAGTCCTTGGACACGCCGGCCAGGAGCCACTCCTAGCTGGGCAAAGCTCACATCGACTTTTGTCGTAGACTTGTACATGTGCCTGCCTGCCACTCCACGCGTGGATGTGCCACTCAAACAACCATCAGTATTCCATGCCGCCTATGGCCCAAGGCGGGGGAAGGAGGCAGACAGTGGCAGCTTCTGAGCCGACAATGGAGCCTCTGGATGCCCCTGCAGGCCTGGCTTGGCTCTCATCAGCCATCTTAGCCTTGCTGCCTTGCGTTAACCCACCCAGGCACACATGCTCCCAGCTGGGTTCGTTTTCCCTTCAGACACAGACGAAAATGCCTTACAGAGACCAGCCCGGTGGAACCCTTTCTGAGGGCGGCAGTGCAGTAGGATGCAAAAAGCTCTCAGGGCCTTGCTTCACTCTAAGTGTCTGAGGAAGGGCAGCATTTCACGG